GCCTGTAATATTGTTGCACCCATATACAGGTAGTCCCCAACTTACGATGGTCCGACTTACGATATTTCGATCGTACGATGGCGATCGCGATATGACAAAATTGTAAAATATTTTTAATTTCGCGTGGCAGGCAAACGCAGCAGCGTACTGCGAGGTACGATACTGTAACTTTATCATCGCCATCCTCCTCTTCCAACAACTAAGTTAATGTAGGCATTCAATAACCTAACATCGTTCAAGTATGCAGACGACGGACAGAATCTTGGTGAGTACAGTAGAATATGATTGGTTACGATACGTTCAATGCATGTATGATACGTAGCTTTAGCGATTTCATTTTAGGATTACCACGGTACGATACATACGTTCAATGCATGTTAAAAGTTTTTTTTTATATATATAGCAGATAGGATTGTTTCCTGAAAAAAACTTTCTATGAAATTGCAGTTCATATAGGTTGGCTAAGAATTTACCTTTGCTTATTACTTTAAATTTTACTGTGCAATACAGTATTGTAATTAATAAATACATACAGTATATAGTTTATACAGTACGGTACTGTAAATTGCCTCTGTTTTGCCAAATTATAAACATTCTTTAAGACTCCTGGGTAGGCTAGGGCCATTTTCGACTTACGATATTTTCGACTTACGACGGGGTCGTCGTAACGCATCTCCATCGTAAGTCGGGGACTACCTGTATACGTATGGGTAGACACAAGGGGGCTAAACTTACCCCACTTGTTACAACTGCTCGCTAGGAGATAGAAACTGACCACGAGTTGTGAATTGCAAGTCAAGTGTGTTAACCATTACACCATATCGAAGATGACAGACACAAAGAAATGCACAACCAATGATTGTGCATTTATCTTTATTAATATCGTATATGTGAAAAACAGGCGAATGGCTTATGATCATTGTTTACAATGTTACCGGTAATGAAAGAAAAGCGGTTTTAAATGTGTAGTCTTATACACAGCGATAATCAGTGACAACTTAGAAAAACTGGCATTTCAAAATCATTAATTAATATCATGCTGCAGAGATGACAACTCGTCTGGCCATTGGCCAAAGGGCCCCCCAATCTTTCAGGTATTGAATGCTAGTGACTATGTGAAAATGCATTATCTACGCGTAAGCTGAGCATAGTACATCAAACCCTTCCCTCGTATGGGTAAAGGTATCTCGGTTTTGTGACAAATGTATTGAGCTACAGTTCACCAATCGCGCCCCTGTTGCTGGAGGATGTGTCGTTTACTGGGAGATTCATGTATGCATAGTAACTGTGCTGCAAGCAATGATGCTGCCACGGAAGAGCACACCATGCCGTCTTCTCTCCATCTTGTTTGCTGAGATCAGGTCACGTGCTGCCAGTGAGGTTCATCCGCACGAATTTTCGTCCTGGCATGTACATTGCTGTACACAGATGTGTGCATGGTACGCTACGTTAATTTTTTTTCATTCTGTACATTTAATCGCGTAAGTTATATTTAACACGAAAAAAATATTGATCATATTTCATTCAAAACACTTCCTGTTTAACGTTTTGGTTGACGTTGGGAAAGATAAAATAAAAGAGGGGATGTTGTATTCCAAACCATGAACCAAACCTTCGTTATAATTTTTGTGTTTACGATTAATGGATTTGCCAATTGCGGCTATTTTAAAGAATATAACCCTCGCGATGGGCAATAATTTGCTGTACAGTGTTGTCAAACGTGGCTTACATAATTCTATGATATAGAGTAGTCATAATAGCATTTCGCAACAGGATGATCAGAAACAAAATAACACCCAGTTTAATACCCACCCTCTAGCACTCAGCAGCATTGACTGCACATGTGTATAATCTGCACAAGCCGTTAATATACAAAAGATGATATCAACCAAGTGTTGTAATGCAAAGGAATACTTGTTTACAAGTTGGGTTATTAAAGGACAATCGCTAATCGGGCAACTTTCTTCAGAGACGGTTACTTATTCTCGAATTTAGGAATCCATAATCAATTCCAATGGGATTTTAGTAATGATTGCACTCACTAGCCAGCACAAACTCATGAATTGCACAGCACTTGTGACTCTTAATTTTGGTCAGCAATTCATATTTAGGTACCAGTGGTTGGCCCAAGTCTCCATGTGTTAAGTAAGTGTTGCAAACCAAAGCGATGAAAGTAGGTTGACGATGGTCGAGTGACTTTTTTAAATGCTCACAGCGATAAAGATATAACGTGTTGGTGAAGAACGATGTTGACTGCATTATGAAGGGGGGGACATGTGACTGCTGGCTCAAAGCTGCCTGGGGAGTTGTGCAGGTAGCCAATTTGATTTCCATTAAAGCAAAACTACAATATTTAATTCATATCTAAGTCATCCATGTTCACATGATATGATGAAAATACATTTTAGGACAGTTCAAGTTTCATTTATTTGGTATAGCCCTGTGAGCCATGCGGCTCTTAACTCAGGTGAAACCGCAACAAACAAAATATGAACAGAGAACATCTTAAAGCGACGACGTGCTACAGAAACATCCTGGATAGACTAGCAAATCTTCCAAAAAAAAACGTATTACAACGCTGTACAAGTCTAACAATTAGAATAATAGTAATTTCATTCATTCAAAATAAACGTTTTTGGGTTATACATGTGTCGTAACCCTCCAACACCCGACACGTCCAATCAGCAAAAAAGTGTCACGTTGACAAAAGACAAATAGTTCACTACTTTAGCCCACCGGTATGTTGAAGAGTGAATCCACAACATTTACAGTTTTTTTTTTAATACGACGTTTCGCTGGTAATTACATCCAGCATCATCGGGCAATTCGCCAGAATGGTGAAGCCCTCACTTGGTCGCGAAAGCCTACGTGTTAAACGCATTCATTCAAGTTACATATGTTTGGCGACATTTTTGGCAACTTTAAAATGTTAAAATAACGATATCTGGTGACTTTTTGAGGTTCATCTGGCGATTCCATACCTTTGTTAGATCTGACAAAACAGGTAAATTTGCCCTTGTTTTTCAGTTAAAAAGTAAAAGTATGTCTGCAATTTCTTGCTTACACCTCTACACTTGAGGGAGCTCCAGAGTGTATTTGGCCTACTCTTCCATGTGCTTAAAGAGGTGGGCCTAGTCACAGTTCACCCCACCACGCTTTGCTAGCTAATCAACTTAATTGTGGTATAACCATTAATAATGCCGAGTGGACAGGCTGCACTACTTCCACTGCTGTGCCATGATATAAAATTGAACCATTGTTCTCTGGATTGCAAGTCCAGTGTGCTAATCATTACACAATGCTTGAGTCACACAAGCCATGATAATTTCTGATACCTCACCCTCGGCCACCTTTGGAATGACTCGAACCTGCACTGCATTAAAAATCTACGGTGGCTGCACAAGTGGATTCATATTTTTTTGTTATTGTATCATTAAAAGTGTGAGTTTTGTGAGGTAATGTCTATGCTGGTATATGTGTAGTGCCTTGGATTCACTCGGACGACAATTGCCTTTTGTCCACCGTCACTTTTATTTCCATCGTTCCGCACACTATAATTTATCCTGTCCGCGCTCCGCCAACTCGAACACTCGAATTCCCCTCGGCACAGTCCGCTCATACTCCTTGTCTCCACACACAGTCTCTTCTTCTCTCCCCGCACACACAGTGACTTGTCTATCTCCTCACACACAGTGACCTGTCTATCTCTTCACACGCAGTGACTCTGTCTATCTCCTCACACACAGTGACCTGTCTATCTCCTCACACACAGTGACTGTCTATCTCTTCACACGCAGTGACTGTCTATCTCTTCACACGCAGTGACTCGTCTATCTCTTCACACGCAGTGGCTCTCTCTCTTCACACACAGTGACTCGTCTATCTCTTCACACACAGTGACTCGTCTATCTCTTCACACGCAGTGACTCTGTCTATCTCTTCACACGCAGTGGCTCTCTCTCTTCACACACAGTGACTCGTCTATCTCTTCACACGCAGTGACTCGTCTATCTCTTCACACACAGTGACTGTCTATCTCTTCACACACAGTGACTGTCTATCTCTTCACACACAGTGACTGTCTATCTCTTTACACACAGTGACTGTCTATCTCTTCACACGCAGTGACTCCGTCTATCTCTTCACACGCAGTGGCTCCGTCTATCTCTTCACACGCAGTGACTCTGTCTATCTCTTCACACGCAGTGACTCTGTCTATCTCTTCACACGCAGTGACTCTGTCTATCTCTTCACACGCAGTGACTCTGTCTATCTCTTCACACGCAGTGACTCTGTCTATCTCTTCACACACAGTGGCTCCGTCTCTCTTCACACGCAGTGACTGTCTATCTCTTCACACGCAGTGACTCTGTCTATCTCTTCACACGCAGTGACTGTCTATCTCCTCACACGCAGTGACTCTGTCTATCTCTTCACACGCAGTGACTCTGTCTATCTCTTCACACACAGTGGCTCTCTCTTCACACGCAGTGACTCGTCTATCTCTTCACACGCAGTGACTCGTCTATCTCTTCACACGCAGTGACTCGTCTATCTCTTCACACGCAGTGACTGTCTATCTCCTCACACACAGGGACTTGTCTATCGCTAACTCTCCCTGTACCTACCTATACCGTAATCTCCACTTTGCTCACGCTAACGCTATTTATTGTCCTCTGGGTTCGGCTCTCAATCTATGTCCCACTAACACTTGCCGGGCTTCCACTCTTCGCATCTCTCTCTACCCGCTGCTGTCTCCACTTCTCGCCAACTCCCCCTCGTCCAAATCACCTCGCGTTTTTATCCCCTTTCCAATCAGCCTTAATTAATTGTCACGTGCCTCGCTGGCATTTTCCCGCCAGCTCCGCACCTGTCCAACGGCTCAGACTCCGTGACGCCGCCACTTAACGCTAACAGCCTCTCGACCAATCACAGCCCTCGTCCCTTGACTCCCTTAATTACTTTGGCTTGTTAACGCCACCCGTGACTTCATCACCTGATCGAACTTACATGACCCACACTGTTTGTGTGTACTGTATATGGCCAACTTACCCATGTGTATTGTCTACTCCACTACATATGGATATAGTGAGTGTAATTAACGTAAGTATGTTGACAGAGGCATTACTCCAGGAGCCGAGAGACTGGGACTAAACCTAAAATTAATATTAAAAACTACGAAACTTTAAGTATCCTTTATACTGTATAGCAGATGTATTAAAGTCCTAACATACGTATATTTATTGAAGCAAAGAATAATATTGCATATCATTAAATTTGAATTGCCTATTCCTGCAACTGGGCAATACAATATTTAGCTATGGACCTTGGTCTCATGAAAATTTCCAGGATTTGCAAAAAAGTCCGTACAAAGCCAAGACAAAAGGTGTTTAGTTTTACACATTAATACGTCTATGGATCATAGTCTTGTCTTAGCTACGGTGAGTTGCGTATGCGTAACCCTAATTTATAGGGGAGTGGCGATAGAGTGGTACTGAATTTGGCAGCTAAAGTGGGAGGAGAGACGGAGTTGGGCCAGTAAAATTCAAAGTGCTGCAAGAGAGATGTGAAGAAGAGGAAGATCTCCATCTTGGCTAAACTTTCCCCCAAACAGACACGGGGACCAGCAGAGAATGGCAGGAAAGCATCCGACTGGATACACTGGCCATCTTTATCAAGGAAGTGATCAGGGTTAAACTTATTTGGTGTTTTCCAGTGGATGTCATCGTGAAGAGCAGACATGAGGTTTACCATTACATGGGTTCCCTTTGGAAACAAGTAGTCGTTGAACTGCACATCTTTAGATGTAGCGTGCAGAACTCCAAGTGGAAGAACGTTACCAAAGCGCTGTATCTCATGGATCACAGCATCCAAGTAAGGCAGGCTGCGTCTGTCCGTCATACATGGTGGTCGCTCGGATCCCACAACTCTGTCAATCTCCCCATGACATCGGGCTTGAATGTCGGGGTTCATCATCATGAAGAGGAGGCCCCAGCGTAGTGTGTTGGAGGTTGTCTCCAGGCCACCGATGAAAAGTTCTATCAAAATCTGAATGAGGGATTGGTGAGTAAAGCTGCTGTTGGGATTGTCCTTCTCCTTATCAATCTGAGCTAGATATGAGTCAATCAGGTCCCTGGGGTTGTGTTGATCTTTTGTGGCACGATGCTCAGATACTATATCATTGAGCAAGCATTGCAACTTTGTGTGAATATGGAATACTTTCTGCCATGGCCCAGGCAACTTTAGCAGAAATGGGAATACATTACACAGTATTACCAGCGGCTCTGCTTGTAACTGCACGAGATACTCAAGGAGGTGCGTAAGCTTTTGGAACTGCTCATTGTCATAATCATATCGGTTCCTATTCAGGAGGCAGCAAATTATGTTGCCCAGTGCATTGTTTAAATTCAAGTGAGGGTCAAACGCTGAGGTTTCCTGTTTGAAAGTTTCTATTAGGTACTTCGCTTCTATCGATATTTTGTCAGCTATTGTTGCCTTTCCGAAGCCAAAATTGCGCAATGTTGACAAAGCAAATCTGCGCTGCTGCTTCCATGGGTCTCCATAGGGTGCTAATGCGATACCAATATTCTGAGTGAGTTTAGTAAAAATGGGAGTTATTGGTCGGTCAGCAAACTCATGACCTCGATTCACCAGGACCTCTTTGACTGCCTCGTAGCCGCTCACCAACACAACAGGCGTACTCCCCAACATTATGGTGCAGACTTCTCCATATTTTTTGGCCAATTCTTGCATGGCAATGTGGGGATTATTGCAAATAAAGGCAGTGATGTTCCCCAGCAACGGTAATGGTTTAGGACCAGGAGGGAAGCCCACTGGGCAGATTGTTGACCCCACTACTTGCAGGGCAGCCCGTACGGTTAGGAACACCATACAGATCAGGGCCAGGCTGATCAGCATTTGACTCATTATCAAGGATTTCCATTCTGGCGAAGTTGCGACATCATCAGCCAGCAGCCCCATCTTGTCGTTCTGTGTTGTAGGGCAGTCAGCAGAGTGAACGCACAGCTCAAGTCGTAGGGTGCACCAAAAGTTGACTGCACACACAGACACACATGCATAGCCTATTTATGAGGACACTACACGAAGCAAAATTACCTTTATATGGCAACGGTTTACTCGCCTAATTCTACCAGCGTTTCAGACAAGTAGTAATTGGGGAATCCATTTAGATAGATATAACTTTAATTGAGGTGACATTGTTAAGTAAAGTGTAGCTTGGAAGCATATTTTTTAAGCAGTTGATATATTCGATAATAAACTATACTATTTATAACAGTTAGTATTAAGCTTCAGTCAACAATGCTATTCTGATACAGGCTAGTATGTTCAGTTTTTATCGTGAGCAATGCATATGTTAATCATTGGTCCAGATAAATTATTATAAAAATGTTAATACATGCATTTGTATTGGCTAATATGCAGGCAGACCTCACTTAGCTCGAATCCGTAGGATGTTGATTCGTTATCACGCTCTTTGTCCTGGAAAAAAATATTGTTTTTACAAAAAATGAAATCAAAACATAAAGTGCTCGTTTAGCATTGTTATTATTAGCGCTATTAGCAATACCCCAATGAAGCCCTCATATTGCTTATATTTAAGAAATATAAATGTCGGGAACGCATCTCCATATACACAATAGTATAATTAAACGAGGTCTACCTATATAATACAAATCTCATTGGGTGTTCCTATGAGGTCATGACACTGATTTAAAGTAACTCAGAGATTCACACATCTTAGATTATTAGTCAGAATTTCTAGAGATCTTGTCCTGATGTTTGACGTAGTTTCAAATTCAATATTGTACCTGGTAAATATGGTTGTGATGGCTCTTCAGCCTACCAGTGGACTAAAACAACAATATTTGGTGCATTAAATGTTTAACCATGTAGCCGGCCTCTCCTGTCTACTGGTATGACCATAACGAAAGAACAAGCTGATAAAAAGTATCTGGGAATGATTGATGTTCAGCTGCATTGTGTTCCTGTCTCCTGTATCTCTACACGTGATCAAGAGACACCACAACAGCGCACACACCACTACACCATGCACACTGAATAAACCCCCAGCTGATCTAGCACTGAATTCATCACATCATATTTAAACAAAATATTCATATCATTTTAGCCTAAATGGCCTATTCGTAACCACTTAAATAATTATGCGTAAATGAAAACAGGTCCCTGCAGGGTGGGCTGGTAGGAACATTGGAATTTTTTTTACACCCAACAGCACGAGATTTCACTTCTTAAAGTATTGAAAGGGGACGGACGGACGGACACATTAATCTATTGCAGGCTGGTACACTCAGTTTACAACTTCGTTCCTACCAGTATAATTATAGATTATGTATAAATGATATATGAATGGGGAACATTATGAATGCATGAATCAATCTAATCCAAACCAAACGCTTATAAAACTCTGCTCACGCTAAAACAACTGGAACACATTGCAGGATGGTCATTTTGTGCCTTTTAACTGTTAACACTGAAAAAGTGAAATTCTGTTACATAGAATACTAGCTGAAATACCCGGCGTTTCCAGAGCCAAAAAAATATTTCAAAACTACTCTTAAAAGTCTAACAGCAGTGTGTACTGACTGTGGTGGTACCTGCTATGATTACAGCAGTGCATACTGTGGTGGTACCTGCTATGATTACAGCAGTGCATACCGACTGTGGTGGTACCTGCTATCACTACAGTAGTACATGCTGACTCTATAGCAGTATTTATCGACTCTATAGCACAAAGTACTCACCTAACAGAGTGGCGTGGTGAGGCCTAGTCCTGTGCAGAGCCTCCGGTCTCGCCTGTGTTACCTCAAATTTACCAACACAAAGTTATTAACATTCATACATATGTAGTGGGTTCAACTGAGTCGCAGATGTAGACTTGGAGGCAACACATTTATTCAACTCCAACACACAGGGTAACTTCCCCTGAACAGAATAACAACCTATGGTGGTGACCACCAGGCTAACTACACTAGTTACAATGTAACTGCTACTACGGACCGAGACCAACAGCTTGGGTCCGGGTCCATGTGTTGGATATTCGTTGAACGAAAAACGTAGATGAAGGTTTCTTCCAGGATGAACAACAACAAACCTGGTTCCTCTCGGGACCCGGTTTATATTCTCTGCAGCATGGCCGGCTCCGCCCTTGGCCACGACCACCTTCTAGAATCCTCAGGAAGGATCTCGATCCCAACGACGTGACCACCCCTAGCCCCCACCTGGGGCCCCTTTGTAAACTTAACTGATCACGTGTCCTCCCGGGTCAACCAGAGTGCCACGGCCTCGAGTAACCGCATTCCTCGGCCGGCAACCACACACGGCACTGCACGCAAAGCATGGTGCCATCTGGTGCTATCATTCAACGCTCACCACTGTGGTATCCGCGATGTCGCTCCACCACACGCCGTGCCCCTCTAGGGCCGGCACTGCACCCAGCATGTTGACATCCAGCGATGTCACTTCACATATGATTAAAGTAATGTGACCAATAGGTCTCCAACAAAAATGGCAAAGTACGTAATATATGCTTTAAAAAACACCCTGTATCTAGATCGACCAAGAGACACCACATCGGCCCACATGCCACACAACACTGCTCAATCCCCGAGTAGATGGAGTTGAAAAAATTAGAAATTCTAAATTTGTGATATTCAAAATGATAACAACAATCAAAAACGTACAATTTTTGTAAACATCAGAAATGGTAAAAATAAAAGTTTAACTCATCCCGATAATGTATCGCATGTAAACAGAAACCCTTATAGCATCAGTGAGCTTGTGTATCATTGTTCGCATTTGACCTCGATGATAATAAGTGGCCAGTTCGCTATTGTGCGCCTCACTAACGTGACTTGACTCTACAATATCACCACAATGAGTTGACCACCCACTGCGCAGCTGCATTACATGTTAATGCATTTTCATTCCCGATTGAGAAAACTTTTTTTGGGTAACTTCTGGCCTGCAAGGGGTCGACAAAAGGTTCTGAGAAAGTAATTTTTTTCCCATATAAATCACTTTGAACATAGCTTCAGTCATAAATGTTCTTAAACATACACACAAATGTTTCCTTTTAGAATTATATGTAACTTGAATAGTTCTAACGTTTGAACATGGGCGATGCGCGAGCATGACGAGGGGTAGAGTGATATTGACCAGTAGCTGCATTAGATAATTAGACACATACAATGTGTGAGAATCGGTACAGCAGCTTTGAAAGAGATGCCGAATGCGTCTGGAGAGGTCCGTAAAAATGTCATTGTGTTATACATGTTTGTGTGGTGTGACCATCGTACAGTTTTAACATAGCACCATTTCCACCACACGTGTGTTAAGTTGAGTCGACATGGAGGCTGTCTGGCACAATTTATTGACATGAGGTACGTTGCACGTGGAAAAATGCATGGGTGCTACAATTGTGACGCAATACAATAACAGCCAATCTACAAACATATTGCAAATATGCGGAACATAAACACATGAACTGATCATTGCGTACTAACATTCATCAGAATCTGTTCACAAAGTCACAATCTGCATGCATATTCCTGCATAAATACCTCATCATCACTGCTCATGCATCTGATGTCTCCGCTCCTCGCCAACGACTCTCACGTCTGCCAGATCCAGCAACTTCTGTGCACCACAGTCCCAATAATTTGAAGGCACGTCCTCAAACTGTGAACATGGAGTGACAGACCACCCATTTTTATCTCCAGCAGCCAGTACTCATGGTACAGTCAAATATTGACATTCCTCACATTCAGTGTGTGTGTCTGCTACCGTGATGCGGCTGGCTGCTATGTGTGTATGTTATTAACATTCTGGTGAGTGGTGGTATAGTGGAAAGTGCATTTCACCATGAACTTGGAAAACAGACTTTGATTCCCGGGCACGTCTAAAATCAGCAGCAGATAATATCAGAACTCGTATTGGGTCTATTCAGCCTCAAATGATCACACTGTAAAATGTGCAATCATCAGCACTCTAGAGACAAAGGCGGCCGAACGTGTTGTTGGCAACATCACCCCATCGTGTGCCATGCTAGCCTTAATAGTCACTTGCTAATAGCGATTATTCATATGCCTATTACAAAACTAGCCCTCAGAAAAACGTGTTTCATTAAAATTTCATCAGGCTCCATAGTCTTCAGTGCAGTCTCCAACCTTTATTAATTATATCTCTGCTGGCCTATATTCTTTTTTACAGCAGCGTTATTGACGAGTGTGTTGGACATATTTCCATAAGTAATGATTGAGCATTCACATCAGCAGATATCCCAGGTATGTACATACAGTTATCCGATTTTGGGTAACGTGCAAACTCAAACAAAAACTACTTTTAGTTTCAAAAAAAATATTCTATAAATGGGAGGGAGGTGTATGGATGGACGGCCACGTCCAAAGGGCTTGCGTTCTGCTGGCTATATTTATAAAAGTTTTTGTTGTTAAGCTTTGTAACCTTTTTATCACGAGCCCTTACCTATTCACGACCACAGTAATTATAAAAAAAAAATACTGATAAATATACTGTGGTAAAAAAATTGTCATAGAACAATACAAAATTTGGCGTGTAAACCAAATGTTACATATTTATTCAATGTCAATGCTGTTGTAATAAACGACTTCCACGACGACTCTGGACTGGTGTCTTTTATTTAACAGAATGTCTGCACAGCTCTGCGCTCTCTCTCTGGGTAGTTCTCTTGCTCCCTCGTCCGCTGCTGCAGTACGTCTCCCTCTCTCTCTCCGTCCACGCCGCTGGCTGGCGGTGTGCCCGGGGGAGAAACCGCTTCTTTGGAGGTTCGCCATGTGGTCGTTGGCGAGGAGAGGTAGAGTGGCGATGCAGTCCGGACCTGAGGCTTCCCACATCGACCATGAGTCCTCTCCTGCCTCCGGTTATGTGCCCCCCGGCGGAGCTAAGCTCCGCCTACCGCCACACCCCCTCGTGGAACCCTCTAGATGGTTCCCGAATATTCCCCGTAGCTCCGCCCTTTACCTTTGCCCTTGATTGAATCCCTACTCCAGATTGGATACCGGTTACCCAGCGGTGGCCATGCAGATGCCCCTGTAACCCGCCAGGCGGCGCTCTCTCATTACATCACCCCCACCCCCTGTGATGAAAAAACCTAGCCGTCCCGATTAAGAATGAATTTGGATGAGTAATGGAGAGATGCAATAAAAGACCCCGCGACAACGACAAGGGTGTGTAAAAATACAAAGCAACATGAACTGTATGAGCCGGCATTAAAAGGCAAATAACAAAGCGAAGACAAATGGGAACATCAACAAAATCGAGGCGTTTTAGAACGGGTCCGCGACGCCGGACCCTCCGCGGTAGCCGTATCCCGCTTCACGTCGATCGGTGCAGCTCACTTCAATCGGGATTTCCAACGGTAATCCCGATTAAAGTACACTGCCCTTTGTAGGCATGTGTAATAAGAGAGTACACCGACGGCAGCCGACCGGCTGGATGGGCTCCGCTGTATCAACCATAAGCCAATCAAGTTAAGTGGGATCATCTGGGCCGAAGTTCAGGGGCGGAGCTCAAGGGTTTTCGTGGGAACCATCGGGAAGGTTCTAGAAGGGGCGTGGCTAGAGGCGGGGCTTGGCTCCGTGTGAGAGGGATATAAGGGGAAGCAGGAAGAGGCTCGAGGTCAGTGTGGGAAGTCTGGAAGGGGGACTAGGTCGCGTGCCTTCGGAACGCCAGCGGCCACGAAGCTAAGTGCTTGCGCGTTCTCATATTCAGCAGTGAACGGGACCCACCTGCAACTTGCAGACGTATTGTAATGGGAAAGGTGTATGTGAATGTGGTTGCAATGCGATAATTACAATACAGTACAAAAAAGACGCACAGCTGATAAGCTACACAGCGCCATGGGTGGCCACGGGTTGCTCTGTGGCACAGAGGAGAACTATGGTCCCATGACATTCGTAAATGCGTGTTGTGGACCTGTGCTTACCTGTGGATACTCAAATTTCCCGTCTGCAGTTAGTAAATTGGTGTTCAAATGATAGACGCTGTATACATCAATCAGCGGTTAGCGAGGAACTGTTGTACTAAGAACGCTAGTACCATTTCTGCCACAATTTTTTTTTATTGAGTCAACCCAGAGGCTGCCCAGGACACTTTGTTGAGATGAGGTAAGTTGCACATCGGTCGCTATAATTGTAACGGTTTGCAATAACAACCAAACATAATACAAGCACATGAACTGATCATTGCAGTCTACCAATAATCATGATTTGTTCACAAAAGTCAATGTGCAAACACTCACATCAAGAACTTGCATACAGCTCATACAGCTCATGCCTCTACTGTAATACTCGCCAATGTCTCTTACCTCTGCCTGGCCCAGCAGCGACATCACCCCCTCATGCGTGACATTCTGGCCTTAATCGTTAGTCGCTAACAGCATTTGCTCCAGTCTATAAGCCTACTACGGTGGATCTTTCTCGTTTTAATGACATTGGCCGACTTAGCTGCAGATGAGTGGTGTGGTGTGTCAAAATCAGTACAGTTGAGCCTGCGTACTACTTGGATTGGTGACCATCATGGCTAAATAAGTTGAAAAACAAGTTGACTGCAGGATTACGTGTTGAGCTGCAGTGAGCAGTGCAACAAAATCCAATTTTGCATTGTACCGTGCTCCCTACATTCACCAACCAGCATCAACTGGAGTGCAGAATGGTCAAATAACCTCCATGACCCACACCAGCGTAGGAAGTCCCTCATCGAGTAGTGTGTTATAAAAAGGACTGTAATGTCTTCTTTGGTTCTTTCGGTAAGGTCACGTAGAATGAGAATAAAATAATAAATTGATAAAATAAAATAACACAATAATATTCTCACGACGTTTCGGCCACAACACAAGCGGCCTTCATCAGGTGAAGGGACGAGACTGTCTGGTAGGACAGCGCTGATGATGGCCGCTTGTGTTGTGGCCGAAACGTCGTGAGAATATTATTGTTATTTTATTTTATCAATTTATTATTTTATTCTCATTCTACGTGACTTTACCGAAAGACCCAAAGAAGATGAATCCTTGCAGTCACGAAAGCTTTAAATCGAAATTTAACTGTAATGTCCATTTGCATTGTGCCCTTTGTGGTGGATCATCATCTGGCTGGGGTTGATAAAAAAAAATGAGTTGCAATACATTGTGGGAATTCTATATAAGTGGTCATTGTGTACGGTGCTAAAGAAGTTAAAATGCATACATTACATGGAGACTGATGTGTATTTTCAATTCAAATGCTCTGCTCCTTACAGCACTGGCAGCTAATTCATCAGGGTCGTTGAGTGTCATGGAAGCATTGAAAATGAATGCAGCCTCAGTTTTACACGTAAGCTTTCGTGACCAATATCATCCATAATAGAGGTTTTTTTGGGTTAGATCGCGTGAATGTATAATGTGTCGTTAAAACCCGCCACCACCCGACACAGCCAACTGGTAAGAGTTGTCACGTAAACAGAAGAGGCAAATTCGTCACTAGTACAGCACTAACCGGTGTGTTGGAGAGCCAAGCCACAAACATTTACAAACTGAGTACGACGTTTCGCCAGTAATTACAACTGGCTTCATCAGGCGACAGCCAGATTTGTGGAGAAGTATTACTGTTTCGTTCCTCATATAGAGGCGTAGATGTGGTGACCACGCTTCTGCGCTCTTGCACAATGTGGGAGAGGGGGGGGGGATTAATGAGGCAACGTACATTATACATGTACATTATGCGAGCCCTTTCAACTTGTCCTTCCTGTCTATTGTGTTTATTTAAATAGCCCTCCCAACGGTAATCCCTATTGAAGAACGCTGCCCTTTGTAGGCATGCATTTAAATAATGTGTTATTTGATGATTCGCTTCCACGCAGCACTAAGACGGTAGATATCCGAACGCCTTATAAAGCTAGTTGTAATTACTGGCGAAACGTCGTACTCTCCAACACACTGGTGTGCTGTACTAGTGGCGAATTGGCATGTTCTGTTTACGTGACAACTCTTACTAGTTGGCTGTGTCGGGTGGTGGCGGGTTTTAACGACACAATGATATATTTACGCATATATTTACGCGATCTAACCCAAAAACCTCTATTATGTAGGTATGTTGAACTTCTTTCGCACCGTATGTAACCAACCGTGCACGGATGTTTGTAAAAAGCTCATGCCCTTGGGCCCAGGTTGTTGGGGTAAGCACCATCTGAGCCTGTTGCTTTGCCTGGCCTTGTGTTGGCGAGGGCCTTACCTACCTAGTCCCCAAAAAACGGTGTCGACTGGAGGGAGGAGAGCTGGCTGTCTGATAGTGCATGGTCCAGTTCTTTGTGGACTTTTCACCTGATGTTGATGTCCGTTGGCTCTTTGGATATGTCAGCAAGTGGTGGGGCGACTGCATCGGGGTTTACTTGTGAATCATTAAATAGTTTATCAATTGTGCTGTTTGAGTTGGCAGATTATCTTAAATTTGATAACTGTGTATATGCATATCCGACAGTTGAATGCATGCAAACTAGCGTAGTGGGCAACATATGTCCCAGTTTAATTCCGTGTTTATTATTATCTTCTATTTAGTTTCTCCTATACAGAACACTACTGCTATGTTTAGTCATTGGTATATTTGCATATTTATGTAATTGATTAAACCATGCAAGAGCTCAATGAGGTTAAAATACCACTAATGGAAGGGAAATATCGATTTAAACAGGTGCACGATAATTGCTAAAAACGCAATAAAATATAAAGCATTATGCATTCAAATCATGTGTTAAAATTATACTATCATCATGATGTCCAGACATCATTACTGGCCAATTTGAATGCTCCTCAGTGTGGGTGTGTCGTTGGTGAGTGTGCGGTGTGTGAAGAATAGTGTCAGGTGAGCAGTAAGCATCTGGTGAGTGTAAGAGTCTGGCGAGTGGTAAATGTCATGTGAGTGGGAGTGCTGGGGTGAGCATGAGTTTTAAGTGTCACATGAGTGGTGAGTGTAAGGCATCCA